GAAAATGTGAGTAAATATTTTAGCTTTTGGGGAGTGTGGAAAATGCATATCTGTTATGTAATTGGATTCTGTGAATGGATTTATGACAAAAATAAATGATTCTGGGAGAGTTCAAAGAAAATATTTTAACTATTTGGAAGGAAAACAGAGCCTCAGAGGGGAGAACACCTTCCCATCTGTCCATACAAATTAGAGGAAAATTTCACTAGACTACTGAGCTTGCTATGTATTCACCAAAGGAGAATTCTGAAGATGCACACACACCCTGTTTCTTGATTATCGGAGTATCCCTCACCTCCTCTCCTTTTGGTTTCTCTCCCCTTACTTTTATGTTCTCCTTTTTGTGCCTTTTTGATAGCAACTCTAAAGCAGTGGTTATGAAATGGTTATACAACTTTTTATTTGAGGTTGATAGAGATGATTTTGTGGTTTGGGAGGGAAAAGGAAAAGGACTGAATAAAAGGAAGTGACTCTAAGCTGTTAAGAAAGAGAAGACTGTTAATAGCAACATCTTGATGTTAAGAGACAAGCTGAAACCATCCAAGGCAGGCAGGGAACAAGGTGATAATAAGAGAAAATGTGTTCACAGACAAAGGAGCCGACAGCAGGGGAGAGCAGTTCAGTGAGAGAGGTGAGCATTAGGAAGAGTGTGCAGAAAGGATGCACAAATCCCTCTGAATCACACTGGGAAGCATTGGCCGTTTGAACTCCTTGGCAACTCCTGGTCTCAAAGTAGATTGTGAGGAATGAGAACAAAAGGAAAGTTCACTCTGAGTTCCTCTCGTCAGAGCAGGGGAAATTGCTTTGAGGTCACACTAAAAGATGATAATGGTACCAAGTAACAGAAAAAAAAAAAAAAAAAAAAAGAGCATTCGAAAAACCAAGAATGTGTCAGGTCACCGGGAGCTTGCCTAGCATAAAGTGACATAAAACCACCACTGACATTCACATAGGTCCTACCACATAGTGCTGTGCAAGACACTTCCAATCAGCACTCAGGTGGCTAAAACAGTGAAGAGAATGCCTCAACTACTCTGAGAATATTCGTTCACTTGGCAAACAGTAATTGAGATTTCATGGTGTCGTCCAGGACTATTGCTATTAATGCTGGAAGGTGCAATAGGAGCTCTTATCTTATGTCCTGTACTAGCTGGTCCAGTGAGGCCAGAAGGAATCACTGTAAAGTGAATACTGGGAAATCGACGCTGACCCTACAAGGGCACTGGCCCCACAGAAAATAGGTGGTGAGATTTAGGAGTGCCAAAATGCTAACTAGAAAGAAATGTGTGCAAGTTTAAATTCCTTGTTATGGACTTAATGTTTGTGTCCCCACAAAATGTTTATGTTGAAGGCTGGGCGTGGTGGCTCACGCCTGTAATCCCAGCACTTTGGGAGGCCAAGGCGGGCAGATCACGAGGTCAAGAGTTCGAGACCAGCCTGACTAACATGGTGAAACCCCGTCTCTAGTAAGAACACAACAATTAGCCAGGTGAGGTGGCAGACGCCTGTAATCCCAGCTACTCAGGAGGCTGAAGCAGGAGAATCACTCACACCCAGGAGGCGGAGGTTGCAGTGAACCAAGATCACACCACTGCACTCCAGACTCCATCTCAAAAAAAAAAAAAAAAAAAAAGTTTATGTTGAAATCCCAACCCCAATGTGATGGTATTCAGAGGTGGGGCCTTTGGAAGGTAATTTAGATTATGAGGGTGGAGTCCTGGTGAGTGGGATTTGTGCCCTTATAAAAGAGATTCCAGGGTACTCTCTACCCCTTTCCACCACGTGGAGATACGAAAAGACAACAGCAGTTTGTGACCAGAGAGAGGGCCCCTACTAGAACCCAACCATGCTGGCTCCCTCCTCTCAGACTTCCAGCCTCCAGAACTGTGAAAAATAAATTTCTTTTGTTTTAAGCCACCCAGTCTATGGTGTTTTGTTATAGCAGCTTGAACTAAGACACTCCCAAGAGGAAAGACACAGCCAACTGCTAGTCTTTCTCCTCCAGACTTAAAATTTCTCATCCATAAAACAGGCTGAATAAGATGCTGAATACTTTCCCTTTCGGCAGATTTAGAATGGTTCTAGGAGTTATCTGCGATCCCGCAATGGAGATGGGACAACATGGGCTCTCTTTTTTGTTGTTACTTTTGAGACAGAGTCTCACTCTGTTGCCCCGACTGGAGAGCAGTGGCACGACCTCGGCTCACTGCAACCTCCGCCTCCCGGGTTCAAATGATTTTCCAACCCCAGCCTCCCAAGTAGCTGGGACTACATGCACGTGCCACCACACCTGGCTAATTTTTGTAGTTTTAGTAGAGATGGGATTTTGCCACGTTGGCCAGGTTGGTCTCGAACTCCTGACCTCAGGTGATCCACCCACCTCGGCCTCCCAAAGTGCTGGGATTATAGGTGTGAGCCAGCGCACCTGGTGCCAGCTGCTAATCTTTCTTTTCCAGGCCTAAAATCTCTCATGCATAAAGTAGGTTGAATAAGCTGCTGCATACCTTCCCTTTTGGCAGATTTAGAATGGTTCTAGGAGTTATCTGGGGATCCTGCAAAAGAGATGGGACAACATGGGCTCTCTTAATGTGGGAATCTGTAAATAGCTGCAGGAACTAGAAACTACAGGCATGCTTTCTGTATATTACAATCAGTTGTTGAGAAATTTTTAAATGCTGAAGATGCCAAAGCCCTTCTTCCAGATTTTAAGCCAGAGGTTGCAAACTAGGCACCCCTACATTTTGTTTGGCTAGCAAAATATTGTTTAAAAATTGACCCAGCATTTAAAAATGGTGAAATTTCACCTGAAAACCCAGATTTTTGGCTTCTCCTGAAAGACTGAACTATCTGGCAGCACTGGAGCCACAGTAGCAATTAGCTGGAGGTGAGTAGCGGCTGTCCCATTGAGATGGGCACCTGTTCTCTAGTTTGATCATCTCTACCCCTCACATTAGGGTGACCATTTAACTCGGCCAGCACTTTTGAGAATAAAAGGTGGGGGGGGGGGGTAGGTGGCAGAGTGCTGTGTATTTACACCTGAACTAGGGACATGAAGCAGGATTTTCAGGTGGAATAAGAGTGCACGATTACACTAAATCACATTGCTTACGCTGGGCTTGTTTCATTCTTTGCCCACTGTTATTTGGGTTTTGTGCTCACGAATCAGGGGACCTTGTGAAGAAGCAAGGAAAGAAAAGGTGTAAAATTAGTAAGAGACACGAAGGTTGAAAAGAAAGTTAAGAGATTAAAAAGGATATTAAAATGAATGCCAATTATACCAAACTTGTAGGTAAAGGCAGAGCCTTGCTGATGGCTGGCTCAGCATGGAAGTTTGACCCTCCAGGCTCCCTGCCCTACACAGCACTGTCAGTTTTAATAAGCTGTAATCCCATAGTTACAAGCAAGACTAATCAAACTGCAGAGAGCAGCTTGTTCCTAATCAGGAAGGCACAGGGTAATCATTTAACTCTGTGGTTTCTTACTGAGCTCCAAGCTGCCTCTACAGAAAAAACATCCTGGATAAGATAGTTGCTTTCCACTCTAGCCTTGACCCTTTGATGGTCTTTGAAATTTTTATTAAAATGCTTTCATTATGCAAGTATTTGGTTTAAAACTGCTTTAGAATATTTTCCCTTTATTCCAAGGAGTAACAAAATAAACCTCCCCCAAAATATATAAGAAACCTCAGACTCCAGTTGATTACCTGAGTCCACTTGAACTAGTCACAGTACCCAAACATTTCAACACCATTCAGGGTGTGGTTACAGTCCCAAACTGGGAAGGGGGGTAGAAATTTGAGGATGTGGAATGGCAACCCGTGTTGAGCACCTACAGATACCAGCATGGTACCATGGGGCATGTGCTAGTGCTAGCTATTCACTACTGGAAAAGCTGAAGCCAAGGCCAAGTTGCAGCAAAGCTCCTAAAGCACCCAATACCCCAAGGCCAGGAGGCCCCTCTATGCAGTCCCTGATTCTCTTAGCCCCCTCAACCCAGAAGTCAGTCAAAATAAGAATTTATTTAGTACAGTGGATAACCACTGAGTTTAAGTCAGGTGGAGCTAGAGTCTACCTGGGAGCTGAGTAGTCGCCTTTAGGCCCTTAGGCAAACTATTTAACTTTCCTGAAATATCTGGTGGGCACTCAGGCAGGCTATTCAACTCTCTTAAAATTCAGTTCTTAAATAGTTGGCTTCAGCTTTTCCAGTAGGGAGTAACTAGCACTAGCACATGTAGCCCATAGGACAATAGCAACACCTCACAGCCATGCTCTAAGAGTCAATAGTTATATATGAAAAGCATTTACCAAGATGCCTGGCACATTTAAGATACTCCATAGATTGTGATTATTATTTTTATTATGTGCTAGCACGGCCTTAAGGCTCGTAATTATATAACTTAAAGAGGTAAGTGATATGGCGTGGATGTTTGTCCCCTCCAAATCTCATGGTGAAATGTAATCCCCAGTGTTGAAGGTGGGGCCGGGTGGGAGGTATCTGGGTACATCCCTCATGAATGGCTTAACACCATCTCCTTGGTGATGACTGCATTCTCCCTCAGTTCACGTGAGATCTGGTTGTTTGAGTCTGGGACCTCCCCATTCTCTTACCACGTGACACACCAGCTTCCCCTCTGCCTTCTACCCCAATTGTAAGTTTCCTGAAGCCCTCACCAGGAGCAGATGCTGGTGCCATGCTTCCTGTACAGCCTGTAGAACGGTGAGCCAAATAAACCTTTCCCTTATAAATTACCCAGCCTCTGGTATTTCTTTATAGAAACATAAGAACAGACTAATACAGATAGATAAGGGAATATTCATAATGTATATAATTGAATAGCTCCTTTTTGGATTTTACATTTATCATAGATGTTCTCAAAACAATGAACACAGATAAACATTTTTTTCTTCCAATGAGAAATCTCTAGAACATTTCTGGTATTTCAGAAATTTAATATTTTGTTTAACAGACCTAGTACATTTACAGAAAGCCAAACACAGTACATTTTTTAAATTAAAAATGTTTTATTTGCTATTGCCTTTAATAGATTTGCTACAATAAAGGAAAGGAATATTTTTCTCAAACGTGCTAATAAGAAAAAGACCCAGAAAACTGAACAATATTGGACACAGTTTTCAGTGTTTTGGACATAAATAAACTCATGAATTTCATATGGATTCTGGAATATTTACCACTCCCCTAACGATGCATTTAGCATTGAACAAAAATATGAACATTTGAACAAGTCCAATCCAACACGTTTCAAAACAATCAGATCCTTGGAAAACTGTTTTCCGTAAGTATCCCTTGCCATTCATGGAAGAGTTATGAGGATGCCCATGAATTTATTCATAGACATTCCCATACTACGAAAAAAAAAAACCATATAGATGGGTAATATAATTTGAGCCCAAATCTCAGGTTGAAATGTAATCCCCAATGCTGGAGGTGGCGCCTGGTGGGAAGTGTTTGGAGCACAAAGGTGGATCCCTCATGAATGGCTTGGGCCATCCCCTTGCTGATAAGTGACTTCTTGCTCTGAGTCTCGTTCCTGCTTTTGTCATGTTATGTGCCTGCTCCCCCTTCACATTCTGCCACGATTGTAAGCTTTCTGAGGCCTCCCCAGAAACCAAGCAGATGCCAGTACCATGCTTCCTATAAAGCCTGCAGAGCTGTGAACCAATTAAACCTCTTTTCTTTACAAATTACCCAGTCTCAGGTATTTCTTTATAGCAATCCAAGAACGGCCTAATATAATGGGCTCCCAACACATAAAACATACAGCAGCCACAAAATAATTAGAAACAATATTAAGTAATGCCCACTAAATTTTGAACAGCAAAATATAGCATAGAAGTATAAAACAAACGTATTTCTTACCCCTACAAAAAAAAGGGGCATCTTTTTGGTTTTGTTATTGCTGTTTGTATAAAAACTATGGTGTGTGCATGTGGGTGTATGTGTATTCCTTAAAGAAAACTTGAAAAACATAGAGATAACTTAGAATCACCTTCCCCTACCAGCCTCAGGATCTCCTGATACCAATTCAGTAACCATTTAAAAACCCACAGGCCAAACCTCTCTTTAGGCTCTCAGATATCCCTACTGTTGCCTGTCTCCCAGGATGACAATTAGGGCTATTAAGGTTATGACTCTAATCTAAAACTTTTTGTTCTTCAAATTTTAGAGCTAGACAGTATCTTAAAAGTTCATTCATTCCTATCCATTATGCCTGTCCCTATTTATTCAGCAGGAAACAGCCATGGAGAAGTTAAGTGAATTGCCCAGGAGTCATATCTGAAGAGGATGGAGACTAATCTTCTAATCGGTAGGCCAGACAGGGCTCTGTCTAAGTGAACACATTGAGAATGAATCTTCACAAGAGATAGGGCTTCAGTTATTACGTAGTTAGACTATTAATGAGCCTGGAAGGCAGATCACAATGGATCTGCAAAACCAGATGAAAGCAGCTGGGCAAACTTTTGGCTCCTAACAGGCAATTACATTGGCTCTAAAAAGAAGCTACAAATAGGCCATGTGGTCAAATGGAGGAGTGTGACCTGGGACAGATGATCACAGGAGCAATGTTCAAGCCCGCCCCACATTCCAGGGATATCTGAGCCCGGTTAAGTCACAAGAGTCATTTCTGATTGGCTGCACTGCCAGGGCAGGGTAGGAGACAAAAGTATCCAAGAGTCTCCTAAGAGTATGAAGGTGAACTAAAGGAAACCCTCAAACAAGCCAGATTTCTTCTCAAATCAACAGGCATATGTCCAGAGGCCATGCGTCTCACACCATTTCCCTTCAAGCCTCCATCCCATTCATTGGTCCCTCAAAATCTTGTCACTCCCACTTTAAGGTTGTGCCCTCACAGCTAAAGCTTTTGTCTTTGACTAAATGAATCTCTATCAACTAAAAGAATTAGTCTAGAAGTTTAAAAGGTCACAGTTCAATTCTCTCTGTTCAATCCAGGTCATTTAAGTCTTTAGAAGAAATCTCTTCACCCTCATGTGGGCAGTTTGGTACAAATATTCTTTACTTTAGCAGACCTTATATCAAAATATAAATAACTAAGGCTCAGATTATTTCTTCTTCATATCTTCCCATCTTACAACACTGACACAGGCTCAGTGTGAAGAGTGAGACTTGTATTTGCAAGATCTCAAGATGCTTGCCTGTGGATGAGCTCTTTCAGCTGTGCCAGTTTGTCATTTTTTAGTGCCTCCCGGATGGAATGGAAAAACCCAAAGTAGTGTTCAAAGTTGTGCATCATAAGCAGGACTCCGGCCAGCAGCTCATTGGTCACCAGCAGATGGTGGATGTATGCCCGAGTGTGATTCTTACAGCAGTAACAGGAACATCCTCTCACCAGTGGGTTAAAGTCCTCCTGGTACCTAAGAGAGAAGTCACAGTGACATTCCAGAAAGTACAGAATACAAGAAATCCACAACCTCAGCTATCTATTCTGCTGGTAAAGTTACCAGTGGTTAATAACATCACTAGCAAATGTTCAGTGCTGTGCACCTGCTTAAAATGGCAATAAGGTTAAAAGTGAACAAAGAGCTGGATGCGGTGGCTCACTCCTGTAATCCCAGCATTTCAGGAGGCCGGAACAGGCAGATCACGAAGTCAGGAGTTCAAGACCAGCCTGGCCAATATGGCGAAACCCTATCTCTACTAAAAATACAAAAATTAGCCAGGCATGGTGGTGCGTGTCTGTAGTCCCAGCTACTCGGGAGGCTGAGGCAGGAGAATCACTTGAACCCAGAAGGCAGAGGTGGTGAGCTGATATCACACCACTGCACTCCAGCCTGGACAACAGAGCAAGACTCCGTCCCAAAAAAGAAAAAAAAAAGTTAACAAAGAACACAATGAGTCAGGGAGACCCTGGAGGTTTTCTCTGACTGATGCAAACTCCGAGTCTGGGGTTACGAAGGAGCATCAGAATAAATTCACGTGGTCGCTCACTCATGTTGACTATTACTCATCACATTGTAAAGGCACATAATGTTAGGAAACACATGTAAGTGTTTGACACTTAGGAGAGAAGTGAGTGACACTTCTTTCCCACTTACCACCAGAATTATTATCAAAAGACATGGTAGACTTCTACTTACACAGCTTTTTGCAGTTTACCAAACACTTTCACATATATTGTCTCATTTAACCTTCACATTCATTCTTAGAGATAACCATTTTTATTGTCATTCTACAGAAGATGATTACTATGGGGGTTGAGAGGGAGGGCCTGGAGCTACCCTGCATGAATTTGATTCCTGGCTTCACAACTCACTTGGGCAAGTCACAGTCACTTAACAACTCTCTGTGACTTGTTTCTCATCCATGAACCAAAGGTAATAACAGTGCCTATCTCAGACAGTTGTTACAAAGATGAAATGAATTAGCACAGTGAAAGAACTTGAACACTGCTGGGCACGTACTAAGCCTAGGCACTGCATAGGTGTTAACTTTTTTTTTTTGAGACAGGGTCTTGCTCTGTCACCCAGGCTGGAGTGCAGTGGTATAATCATAGCACACTGCAGTCTCGGACTCCTGGGTTCAAGCAACCCCGCACCTCAGCCTCCCACCACGCCCAGATAATCTGTTTTAGAGAAAGGGTTTTGCTATGTTGTTCAGGCTGGTCTTGAACTCCTGGGCTCAAGTGATCCTCCATCCTCAGCCTCCCAAAGTGCTGGGATTACAGATGTGAGCTACCATGCCTGGCCAGGTGTTACCTTTAATCAACTATTAAAAATAAGTGGATTGAGGTCAGGAGTTCAAGCCCAGCCTGGCCAATATGGTGAAACCCCATCTCTATTGAAAATACAAAAATTAGCCAGGCATGGTGGTGCATGCCTGTAATACCAACTACTTGGAAGGCTGAGGCAGGAGAATCGCTTGAACTCAGGAGGCGGAGGTTGCAGTGAGCCGAGATCGTGCCACTGCACTCTGGCCTAGGCGACAGTGCGAGACTGTCGCAAAAAAAAAAAAAAGTGAATTGACCAGACCAAAGTCACACAGTCAAGAGCAGTGCTAGAATTTGTCTACAAATCACAAAAACTGAAAGTCTAGTGCCAATAGTAATAGTACAATTTCCAATTAAATCTATAACATGAAGGGAATTTTAGTAGTAACCATTTATATTACCCTAAAAATTTAAAAACATAAATAAATCATTTGAGAGTCAGTGGATGACAGAAAAAAAAAAAAGGATAAAAGAAAAGAAAGACAAAAGCAAATCTATCTCCTTGGTTATTTTTTAAGAAGTCAAATGTGGTAGACATTACCATTTCTGACCTATAATTAAAGGAGTCCCAACAGAATATGAGTAAGAACAAGGATTTTCACATTCTTTCATGAACTCTCAAGTCTGTACTATCACTAGATAGACATAAATAAGTCACAAGCCATAGGATTTCCCTTTACATAAGACAAAAAACCCACCCTAGTACTAAAGTGAGTGCGTTAGACTCAAAGAAAAATCACTCACTGGTTCACTGATGATTACCACTTTTGACCAAATACAAAAATTACAAGACACAGGTTCAGTATCCCTAATCTGAAAATCTAAAATGTGAAATGCTCCAAAATTCAGAACTTTTTGAGCACTAACATGATGCTCAAAGGAACTGCTCATTGGAATATTTCAGATTTCAGATGACGGATGCTCAGCCAGGTAAGTATAATGCAAATGTTCTAAAATAAAACAACAACAACAACAACAAATCAAAGAAATCTGAAACACTTCTGGTTCCAAGCATTTTGAAGAAGGGATATTCAATTCAATCTGTATCTTAATTTGTTCTTTATAGAGATAAATATTTTATGTAAGATTTATAGCCTGTATCTAACAAAGATGTTAGGCACCCTACAATTTAAAAGTTTGTTGTGTTTTATCTTGAAATCCTTATTATGCTCTAAAGGAATAAAAGACAGCAAACAATGGATTTGGTCTAATCTTTCTGTCAGCTTTTCTAAAGCAATCATTACCTGGCTCTAGTCTTCTGACAAGACAAAGTCTACAAATTCATCTGCAGAAAATAAAGAGTTTTTTTGAAACTGGATTTGAAAAGGCCTAAATAATACCCAACTATTAATATTTTATGAAATCATAAATTGAGAATAGTCCCATAAACTTTTAAAACAGACTAAAATTCAGAAATCAGAAAGTAAAATCTAAACCTTTAAAAATTTCTTACATTTTTTCCTTCAGATTAATTTCAAATGATGTTATTTCTTGGTTGCAACCAGTTATTTCCATTTTCTTTATTTGATCCACACATTTTACTTTTTCTTGTGTTCCATTTTGTCGTAATACTGAAGGACAAACCAATAAAAAGCCTTGAATGATGATCAGATAAGAAGTGGCCACTGGAAACACTTTATTTTAGTTATTATTACATGATCTTTGACTCTGTAATTTCACTCCTGAGAATTTATCCTAAGGAAATCACAAAAGAAATGAAAAACAGCAATATGCTCCAAGACGGTCACTGTCCTCTTATCTACAATACCAAAACAATTTAGAGATTCAATAATATTTAAGCAAATTATAGTTACAAATATATAACATACCATCTTACCATCAAGAAAGAATTTAAAATATGGTTGGTGGCCAGGCGTGATGGCTCATGCCTGTAATCCCAAAACTTTGGGAGGCTAAGGCAGGAGGATTGCATGAGGTCAGGAGTACATGACCAGCCTGGGCAACATAGCAAGACCCCATCTCTATTTAATAATAAACAAATAAACCAACAAAAGTTAACAGTTGGTTGTGTGTGTGTGTGTGTGTGTGTGTGTTTGTGTGTGGTGGGGTTATCACTATCCCTTATCACAATGTACATGCAAATAAATTGGGCTTCGAATTACCTATATTCCAAATAGATTGAAGTAGAACATGGTTTTAATGTATGTATTCTATGTGGAGACTCTGGCCCTCTGGGGAACCCAGACTATCCAGAATTAAATGGTAACCTGAATTGTTCCCTTCAACTTTCTGCTTTAAGAAGAAACATTCCTTGCACTGCAAAAGAAACACCAGCTACTCTACAAAAAGCCAACTGCCTGAAACAGGGACAAGTAGTTAAGGAGTATTTTGGGAACAAATGATAACAAATCTCAGTGTTGGTCCCAGGAGAAGGACAGGTGGTCTTAGGAGGGTAATTTTATCAAGGTCAAAGGAATAAGAGAAGCAACCTGAGCACTGGGCACAGAGCTGTCATAATTTTGTTCTCATAAATTTGCATGCTGATGTTGGAAACCATAATGAAGCCCTCAGCTGGCTGCAGTGACTCATACCTGTAATCCCAGCACTTTGGGAGGCTAAGGCAGGAGGGTCGCCTGAGGTCAGGAGTGCACAACCAGCCTGGGCAACACAGCAAGACCCTGTCTCTGCAAAAAATTTAAAAATTGGCCAAGCATGGTGGCATACACCTGTAGTCCCAGCCTACAAGGTGGCATGCACCTCCCAGTACTCGGGAGGCTGAGGTGGGAGGATGGCTTGTGCCCACTGAAGTTAAACAAATTAAACTTTACCAAGCAGTTCAAAGGTTTTCTTATAATTTCCACCAAAATTCACTCTGAATGTTCTTTTTTCAGGAGTTCGAGGCTGCAGCGAGCCATAATCACACCACTGCACTCCAGCCTGGGCAACAGAGTGAGACCCTATTTCTGAAAAAAATTTTTTTAAGCTCTGATATTTTGGAAAACTCTTGTCATTTGGGAGAACTGGTGTCAAGTAATTTCTTTGGAATTCTCAGTATGTAAGTGGCAAAGGACTTTAATTTACCACACACACACAGTTAATAATACTTTGTTTAAACATTCAAACTATCTTCTTTTTCCTAATCATGAAGAAACTTGGCTCTCTCTGGCCAAAAATGACCTTGTTCATTACAGAGAAGTCAAATCAGGTTCTTTTTAGAGCTTTGCATATTCCTGGTACTGAATGACTAACAGTTACCTCTATTCTGGTGGAAATAATTCAGTTTGTAAATGAAGATGTGAAAATTTATAGTGTTAATGCTATACCTAGCCACATACATTATGTTCTGGTCTGTCTAAAAGGACAGTAAAATTGATCTCCTATATATTTAAGAATTTGATCAACTTGATTTATTTTGTTTCCAAGGTAATTCCACTTAGATTAATGGTTAAGCTGCTTCATAAAAGTATAACATCTGAATGAAATTTAGTTACCTGTGAGGAATAAAATGAACCTTTAAGGAAGTTTTGGGTCCTATTTAAATTTAAGATTGATGTGGTTAAGGAAAAGTTCCAAGGATGGCAGGAAAAGGAAAGGAAAGGCCATTTCTCAAGGTCAGAGGGAAGACTGCACAGAAGACACTCTCCTGAAAACCCACTTCAAGCAACTCTAGCCCAAAGTCTACACCCCAGCTCCTTTTGTACCTCCAGTTAAGTGTTAGAATCTGAAACTGACTTTAACTTCTGGAAAACTAAAGAATAAAAGAAAATGGCAGTCCTTCAAAGCAACATTAGCAGAGGAAAACAGCTTTCAAAGCCTGGTGTATTTAAAAAAAAAAAAAAAGAAAAACCACCAAAATGCAAGAAGTAACACTAGGATCAGAGGATCATGAGTCTCCCTGTATTTTAATAGCATAAGGTTTGCAAAGAAAAGACAAAAACTCTTTTGTGAGAAAATAAGTTAACTTTAACCAAGCAGTTCAAAGGTTTTCTTATGATTTTCATCACAATTCACTCTGAATGTTCTTTTTTCAGGCTGTTAACAGAGGAGGTTTTGTTTTTCTTGGTTCTGTTCACTATAAAATCACATCCTAATATTGATGAGCTACACGTATAGTATTAAGTACCTGGATTTGTGTGCCAACATGCCAGGGCACACAGATAAGAAACAAAGATGTAGTTCTGTAAAAGACTGGCTTTACATATACATATTTCTGTCTTGTGACTCAAGCCAAAAATTAATAGGAAATGGAAGAAACTTAAGGATAAGAGAAACTTCAAAAGACTTACGTATCTCTTCGGGATTCAGCTGGTAATCAAAACTGAAAGTCAGGGCACCTCCCCGCTCTGTTACTTGATAAGGGAAAAAACTCTCAAATAAGTCCACTCCTCTTTCAATACACTTGAGCACCTCATCTGGCCGACCAATACCAGATATGAGCCTATAAAAGTAACAATAAGAACAGTGACATGAAGACCATGCACAAAAAAAAAATAATAATAATGAAAAACACCAATCACGGTTAGAGTGGCAGGCAGTAGACAAAAACATGTAGTAGAAAGAACATATGGCTTTGGAGCCAGAAAAACTGGGGCTTGAATACTAGCTCTGTCATTTATGTATTTGCTGTGTCACTTTGGAAAGATTACTTAACTTCTCTGAGTTTTAGTTTTATAATCTTAAAAACAAGAGCAAATAACATATACCCCCACAGAATCGTTCCGAGAATTAATGAGATATTTGAGAAAGCACATAGCATAGTTTCTTTTTTTTTTTTTTTTTGAGAGGGATTCTCACTCTTGTTGCCCAGGCTGAAGTACAATAGCGCAATCTCAGCTCACTGAAACCTCCGCCTCCCAGCAGCAATTCTCCTGCCTCAGCCTCCCTAGTAGCTAGGATTACAGGCACCTGCCACCATACCTAGCCAATTTTTGTATTTTTAGTAGAGATGGGGTTTTACCATGTTGGCCAGGCTGGTCTCGAACTCCTGACCTCAGGTGATCTGCCCACCTTGGCCACCCAAAGTGCTGGGATTACAGGTGTGAGCCACTGCACCCAGCCCATAGTATAGTTTCTGATCTCAGAGAGAAGTTCAAAGAAGGTTAGGTTAGTTTCCTTTCAACTATCATCCTTTCTGAACAACCTCCCTAGTCATAAACTAAACTTTATAGCCTATTCACTATATAGATTTTTTAGGAGTGCAAAGCTGTGTGCTTTATTTCTTGCTGAAATATTTTGCTTGTTTTAACTGTATTTTGCCTATAATTTTTCATAATTGGTACAATAAAGATATTTTACTCTACTATATCCCTCATAAGTTAATTTATAAAGCAACTCTCGCTGTCAGGATTTCACCTCTGGCCATAGGATCTAAGAATCTAGTTGGCTTTCTTTATATTTTCTCCATTAATAAAAAGTCTGCACTGTGGAATGAGATGGTGTTTTCCAAGGTACAGGTTTAGCATCCTTAATCCGAAAATCTGAAATCCAAAATGCTCCCAAATCTGAAACTTTTTGAGCGCCAACATGACACTGAAAGGAAATGCTCACCAGAGAGTTTTGGATTTTGGACTTTCAAATTAGGGGTGCCCAACCAGTATGTACCCTGCAAACATTCCAAGATCTGAAAAAATCCAAAACCTCAAGCACTTCTGGTCCCTAGCATTTTGGATAAAGGATACTCCACCTGTAATAGGTAAGGCATTCTGAGACTATTAATGGCACTCAGCTAGGTTTTGCCACTCCATGAAAACAGATGTGGAGATGCACGAAATCACGGCTGACTGGCTGGCTGCTGCTCTTTTTTATGTTTGTTTTTCTACCTATAGCCCCTTTCTATGAACTGGCACAGAAATGCAAAGAAAAGCCTCATGTAATATTAAATAAGCAGAACTCTTAAATATATGCTGGTTTTCTTGACTACAGTTTCCTTCAAGTAATGTAATATTTTAGAACTCCTATCCAACTGAAGCTGGCATTTCTACACACTGATAGAAAGAAAAACAATCCAGCGTTCAAATTCAGTAACAGACATCTGTGAGCACTTAACAGGAAGAAGTCCAGAAAATGTCTAGAAATACTAGTGCTGAAGTGTTATGTGCACCAGAGTGAAACAAGTACAGGAGAGGGAGCAATGAACACAAAAGAACTAGGTAAAATTGGGGGTCAAAGGTTGGCTGAGGTGATGGAAATACCTTGTTCTGGGTAGTGTTTACACAAGTGTAGACATGTGAAAATTAATTGAGCTGTATGTATGATTCATGTGCTTTCCTCTAAGCTGTACCTAGATCTTTAAAAAGGTAGTAAAATCACGCCTGTAATCCCAGCACTTTGGGAGGTCAAGGCGGGCAGATCACCTGAGGTCGGGAATTCGAGACCAGCCTGACAACAAGGAGAAACCCTGTATTTCTCTACTAAAAATACAAAATTAGCCGGGTGTGGTGGTGCATGCCTGTAATCCCAGCTACTCGGGAGGCTGAGGCAGAAGAATCACTTGAACCCAGGAGGCAGAGGTTGCGGTGAGCCAAGATCATGCCATTGCACTCCAGCCTGGGCAACAAGAGCAAAACTCCATCTCAAAAAAAAAAGTAGTAAAATTACATATATTATATACTATCCAACTAAAGGAGTGTAGAGCAGCACACCACAACCAAACTTCTTAATACACATGCAGGAAAAAAGCATGAATATTCACATTGAGATAACAAACCATTAAAAAAAATGTGGGTAGCCTAATACGGCATCAGCTGCATTCAGAAACTCAGAATTTGTAGCTTCAAATCTTGCAGATCATCTTTTCTTACCAGCACAAGGTGAATTCTGCAATTTATGGAAATGTAAGAACCAATCCTACTAGGGTTGTCAGTCCCCTTAATTTCAAAAATTGACACCACTCACTACCAGCCTCAAATCTAAGAGCTTCTTAAGTTCTTGTTGGTGGAACTCATCTTCATCCCACTAATCATCCCATATCTGTCCTCAACTTTCCTCAGTTTAAACCAGAGTTCCATATGACTTTATACTTGGTCTCCACATACCATGTTATAATGAAGAGACAACAATATTTGTAATTGGCAAAAGAATGAGGGGAAACACTATAACACTTGCTCTCGCTTAGGAGGATCAAATAACATAATTCACATGGCAGTTATCCTCTACTCTACATTCTGAAATCAAGGCCAGGACAGCCTTCACAGAAACTGCCCTTACAGTCTGCCTCAGCGCCTCGGCAGACTCAGCCCAGAAAGGACATAATCAAAACATCAAAAACATGCCCATGCACAGACACTATGTAATATACAACTAGCCAGCACTCCTGCCCTGCATCCCATGAGGCCGGCCTGTGTCCTAACTGAACTGGCCTTGGTTTGTCCTCCGGCAGCTCTGCAGTGACTGATGACAGCAAGCACAGTCTAGTCTCCAGGGTTGTTGGATTTCCTTGAAAACCATCCAGAAGGAAGCCACCTACGGGCCGCTTGGCTGTCTCTCGTGCTGACCTCAGCCTCTCTTCCATCACATCTCCACCTTCAATCACTCCAATGATCACACTCTTCTGAAGAACCTGAGTTAAAAAAGGATGACATGTTTTTAACCATTTTCAGTATCAGAGACCTTTGTTTAAATGAACCTTACATGGAAGTCCAATGTATAGAAGAGACCTCAGTGAAGCTGCTGCAGTTGAAGCATTAAGGGGCATGGTGCTCCCTTCTCCCTAAGAACCTTTAGGGCTCTGAGGAACATACTTTGAAAAACATACTTTACCCATCAGGTAAGAAAAGACTTAGGAAAAAGATGCATTCAACATATGTAGTCTTGTTCTGGCTTAGATTAAATTAGATCAGGTGCAGTGGCTCAAGCCTGTAATCCCAGCACTTTGGGAGGCCGAAGTAGGAGGATCATTTGAGCCTAGGATTTTTTTTTTTTTTTTTTTTTTTTTGAGACGGAGTCTTGCTCTGTCGCCCAGGCTGGAGTGCAGTGGCCGGATCTCAGCTCACTGCAAGCTCCGCCTCCCGGGTTCACGCCATTCTCCTGCCTCAGCCTCCCGAGTAGCTGGGACTATAGGTGCCCGCCACCTCGCCCGGCTAATTTTTTTGTATTTTTTTAGTAGAGATGGGGTTTCACCGTGTTAGCCAGGATGGTCTCAATCTCCTGACCTCATGATCCACCCGTCTCGGCCTCCCAAAGTGCTGGGATTACAGGCTTGAGCCACCACGCCCGGCCGAGCCCAGGATTTTAAGACCAGCCTGGGCAACACAGGGAGACCTCGTCTCTACAAAAAATAAAAAAAACAAAATTAGCTGGGCATGGTGGCTCGTGCCTGTAGTCCCAGCTATTCGGGAGGCTGAGGTGGGAGGATGGCTTGAGCCCGGGAGGCGAAGGTTGCAGTAAGCTGAAACTGTGCCACTGCATTCCATCCAGGGTAACAGAGTGAGACCTTGTTTCAGTAAAAAAATGTAAATAAATAAATAAAGTGTACACTAAACAGGGACAAGAGGAAAAGGACAAAAGAAGAGTTTTAATTTGTGTAATGACTATCCAGGCCTGCTTTAGACTACCTCCAAGCCTCTTAGCTAGAGATAACTTTAGGAACTCAGAAACTGTTGAGACAACTGACTATCCACTCACAAACCAACAAAATAAAGACCACTACTACACACCATCCTCACAACACAAATTCAATGGACCTAATAGCTAAACATAAAAAATAGTTACACAAGTTTTAGAAGAGTATGTTGAATATTTTTACAATCTTGGGGTAAGGAAGGCCTTCCTAAACAAGCTAAAGCTTACAGGAAAAGGTTGACAAGTTTGAGTACAAAAACTTGCCAGGCATGGCGGCTCACATCTGTAATCCCAGCACTTTGGGAGGCCAAAGCGGGTGGATCATCTGAGGTCAGGAGTTTAAGACCAGCCTGGCCAACATTGCAAAACCCCATCTCTACTAAAAATACGAAAATTAGCCGGATGTGGTGGCATGCATCTGTGGTCCCAGCTACTCGGGAGGCTGAAGTGGGAGAATCGCTTGAGCCCAGGAGGAGGAGCTTGCGCTGAGCCGAGATCGGGCCACTGCACTCCAGCCTGGATGACAGGGCAAGGGTCTGTCTCAAAAAAAAAAAAAAAAAAAAAAAAAATCAGTAAAACTTCTCTAGTAAAATACACCATCAACAAAGGCAAAGGAGAACTTACTCCTACTCCTTGGAGGAATATTTAAATATCTACAGCATAAAATGAGCTCCAACAAATCCTCTAAAGAAATGAATGACAACCTCATAGAAATCTAGGTACAATATGTAAATATGAAATTCAGAAAAATAAATGTGAATGCCCTATACACATATGAAGAACTACTAAACTTCGTTAGTAAGGTAATGCAAAATCGGAAACAATGAGATACCATTTTTGCCCATATAATAACAAAAAGGTTAAAACACAGATAACAACAGAGTAGAAGTGAAACTGTAAGGGAAATGACACATACCCTGATAAACACAGAGAAAAATCAGTTCAACCTCTTAGGAAGGAAAGTGGGCAGCACTTATAGAAATGTCGATGCTTTTATCTATGGATCCTAAAATTCCATGTCTAACAATCTCTCCTATACTCATTCATATGTGCCAAGGTTTATTTACAAAGATGTTTAGAATAATGAAAAACTGGCAACAACTTACGTGTGTATCCATAGAGGAAAGGCTTATGTAAATCATAATATATACACAGTATGGCTTCCTATGCAGCTGTTTAAAAAGAATGCAGTACATATAGCAATATATGCAGCGATAGAAAAAGAGTTTCAGGATATTGTTAAATGAAAAACAAGCAAACTGCTGAATATATGATCATACTCACGTAATACAGCCATGTATATCTATGTATTAATTATGTGTATGTAATTGCAAAAAGTAAGTTTTGCAAGAAAATATACAAATCAACAACGGCTCTCCAGTAGAAGAAAGGAATAGAGAGGAGGCCTGGAACACTGTGAAGAGAGAATTTCACTCCTTAGTTTAAGCAGGAGGGACATAATCAGACTATTCCTCTAGAAAGAACACTTTGGCTGCCGTGTGAAGAATAAATTAAGGGTGAGTATGATTGAAGAATGGAATAGCAGACAACTTTAATGATCCAGGTGAAAGATGAGATGACCTGGACTAAGGCAGTGGCCGTGTGGATGAAGAGGAAAGACAAAACTTGAAACCTCATCAGGAAGTAGGATCAACATCACTTGACCGATTAGTCATCCAAGGAGAGGATAAAGACAAAGTCTCAAATGACTCCTGGCTCCTGTTTTGCAAGTCCAGGTAGATAATGATAAGAGCAAAAGGCAGGGACTCCTAGAAAAATAATGGATGAGGCAAGATGATTACTCTGTTCTGTGTGTTCTGAGTTTGAGGAATCAGCAGGATGTCCAAATGGCAATCTTAATTCAGCCACTGAACCTAAATGAACCTAAAGGTATGGTGATATAAACATGAGTGATACAAACATGACTGCCCAGGCTAGAATGGCAGATACCTGCCATGATGCTACAACTCTCCACTCCTGATATGACAGCAGATGTGACTAATAGATGACTCTCTTCTTGCTGCACCCGACCACCTCTGATGAAACCCATTCGCCATCCCTAACCCAGGTAATATATGAAGAAGAAAAGAAAGCCAAAAACTGAATCTTGGAGAGCTTCAATATTGAAGGGCATTCAGAATAAGAGGAGCCAGTGAATAAGACAGGGAAGGCACTCTGCTGCATGATGAAGATACCCAAATTACACACAGAAAGTGAGCTTAAAGAGGCCACAGTTTAATAAAGACAAACGCATAAAGAAATCATTGAAATACAATATGATTGGGGCTAAAATATAGCTACATACTAATTAAAGAGGTAGCAAAGAATGAATTGAATCCCTGGAAGTATCAGGAACCAGTTCTATAGAACGATAGGTGGCACTTCGGGAGGCCAAGGCGGGTGGATCACCTGAGATCAGAAGTTCAAGACCAGTCTGACCAACATGGTGAAACCTCGTCTCAGTTAAAAATAAGCTAAAGATACAAAAATTAGCCAGACATGGTGGTGCATGCCTGTAGTCCCAGCTACTTGGGAGGCTGAGGCAGGAGAATTGCTTGAACCTGGGAGGTGGAAGTTGCAGTGAGCCAAAACTGCCCCACTGCTCTCTAGCCTGGGCAACAGAGTGAGACTGTGTCTCAAAAAAAAAAAAAAAAAAAAAAAAAGAATGATACACGGAATGAAATGAGCCTATGTGGAAGCAAAAGAGGGAATATAGCTAGAGATAAGAAAAGTAGAAACAGTCCAGAAGGAAATCTGTGTACAGAATGAAACAAGCTAATGCCTCAAGGAATTCCAAGCAACTCAGAAAGGCCAGAGTGCAAGTCACAGGAGAAAGTTGCCCACAGTGAGCTGGAGGAGTAGGCAGAGGCCACATCACAGCAGGCTGTCCATGCCATGTAAGAGTTGAAGTAGAGACTCATTAAATTCTTTTAGGGAAGTGGGCAAGGAGCTCATGTTTGTACTTTACAAAGATTTTTTGGATAACAGGGCTGAAAGATGGTTTGGATAAAGATGAGAATGGAGGCAGAGAGAAGAATTCAAAGGTAATTACAAACGTAAGAGATGATGCAGTTATGGCTTAAGGTGGTGACAAGGAGGGGGAGATTCTAGACACATTTAGGCAAATGGAATCAAGGAAGAGTGAACAGTTGGATATTAAATGTGAGTGAAAAAAGGAGTCTTGAAAAGCTCAAATTTCTTGGCCAGGCACAGTGGCTCACGCCTGTAATCCCAGCACTTTGGGAGGTTGAGGCGGGCGGATCACCTGAAGTCAAAAGTTGGAGACCAGCCTGGCCAACATGGTGAAACCCCATCTCTACTAAAAATACAAAAATTAGCCGGGTGTGATGGTGCATGCCTGTAATACTAGCTATGCGGGAAGCTGAGGCCGGAGAATCCCTTGAACCTGGGAGGCAGGTTGCGGTGAGCTGAGATCGCGCCACTGCGCTCCAGCCTGGGCAACAGAGTGAGACTCAAAAAAGAAAAAGAAAAGCTCAAATTTCTGGGCTGAGGAGCTTGGTGGACGCCATAAATGGAGATAAAGTTTTGAGGAAGAGCAAAAGGAAGAACAGGCTTGTGGAGATAAGATGATGAGTCCGGTCACTTCTGAGTTTGAGGAATATTCTAGTGACATAACCTACCTATAGCCCAGTAATTATGTAATTTTGAAGCTAAGTAGAATGATCTTGATAGTTTATACACTTTTAGAATTATTCAGTAATTAAAACTAAGGGAAGGCTGCCCAGGAATAACATATAGAATAGGATGAAAAAAGAAACCTAAGATAGAATCCTAGAGAACAATAATACTTAGGGTTCAAAAAGCAAAAATAGAGAGTAAAACAGACAAAGAGTGAGGAGCACAGTAGTAGGAGAAACAGAAAAGGCGGTGTCACAGAATGTAAGCGAGGCAAGAGTGTCAAGAGAAAGGAGTAGTTAGTGGTACAGAATTACCTCTGACTCTTCCTGCAGCCGCAGACAGTTATCCAAGAAAAGAAGTGATCGGTCAACAGACTTTCTGACCCTTTTTATGGAAGCTGCTTCCTTACAAGACACTTCTCCATCGGAGAGGCACTGGAACCAATCTGGCTGAAGGGCCTGCTGAATTGCCATGAACTTGGAAACAGTCATTTCCACTCGTCCTGCAACACTCCACACAGACACAGACTTCCATGGAGCAAAATGATGAGGAATCAGCAAGAGTAAAATGCAAATAAAAATAAAATAATTAAAATGATAAAGCAATAATTCTTTACAACTGCAGAGATGGTGACAATTCAATATCCAGACATGGTGAGTAATAGGATCTTATAGCTTACAGAGAATCCTTCAATGGTCATAAAAGTCAACTTTTGAGCTAGCCCCTAAGAATTATTTGTTATACTTTTCTAACCATCTTCTGTTCTCCCCTGTCTTACCTGCCCCACCCCTACCCTACCCTTGCTGTTCCTGAATACACCACACTTTGATGACACTGTTCCTTTTGACTGACAGTCCCATATTTCTTTTTTTAAAACATTTTTTTATTGATACATATTTGTATACTTTTATGGGATACATGTGAGACATCTTACATATAGAGCAAGTGTAATAATCATGTCAGAGTATTTGAGTATCCATCACCTCAAGTATTTATTATTTCTAGGTGTTGGAACTTCTACTTCTTTGCCTGGCAAAATACTACGTGTCCATCAAAACACTGAGTTCACATATTAATCTCCAAACTTCCTGGGCATAACCCATCACTCACTCCTCTATGCTTTTACATCAATTTGTACTTATTTCTTTATAGAAATGATAGCACTTATTACACCATTCTGTATTTGTCTGACTAGAGTATCCCAATTCATGTTTGTATCCCAAAAGCACAGTCTAGGGCCCTATACATTTTTAATATCTAGTGTTTACTAGACTGAGTTAGATATAGAATTAAAGACTTAAATCTCCTAGTTCACGAGAACATATATTAGTAACATTCTATCTTTGAGCTAAAAGCAAAACTACCATTCAACCCAGTAATCTGGGCATATACCCAGAGCAATATAAATCATTCCACCATAAGGACACATGCATGAAAATATACACTGCAGCACTATTCACAATAGCAAAGACATGCAGTTAACCTAAATGTCCATCAATGACAGACTGGATAAAGAAAATGCAGTACATATATACCATGGGATATCATGCAGCCATAAAAAATAATGAGGTCATGTCTTTTGCAGGAACACAGATGGAACTGGGGGCCACTGTCCTCAGCAAACTAATGCAGGAACAGAAAATCAAATACCACATGTTCTCACTTATAAGTGGGAGCTAAATGATGAGAACACATGAACACAAAGAAGGGAAGAGACACTGGGGTCTACTTGGATGTGGAGGGTGAAAGGAGGGAGAGAAGGAGAAAAGATAACTATTGGATACTAGGCTTAATACCTCGGTGATGAAATAATCTGTACAACAAAACCCCATGACACAAATTTACCTATGTAATGTTTACATGTACCCCCGAAACAAAAATAAAAGTTAAAAAAAAAGGAAAAAAAAATTCTATCTTGGTTACCGTACAGCATCCCTCTTCTTAGATCAACAAGGACATAGATGGAGGGCCAACATATAGTTGTTTTATTTTGTACTAAGGCATCAGAATTACTGTTTAAATGATTCCTCTCCCTTATAATTTGGGTAGATAATGGAAGTCAAATATTTTCTTTTCCTTTTTTTTTTTTTGAGACAGTCTTGCTGTGTCACCCAGGCTAGAATGCAGTGCACTGGTGCGATTTTGGCTCACTGCCACATCTGCCTCCCGGGTTCAAGTGATTCTCTTGCCTCAGCCTCCCAAGTAGCTGGGATTACAGGCATGTGCCACCACATCTGGCTAATTTTTGTATTTTTAGTAGAGATGGGGTTTTGCCGTGTTGGACAGGCTGGTCTCGAACTCCTGAGCTCAAGCCATGCACCTACCTTGGCCTACCAAAGTGCTGGGATTACAGGCGTGAGCCACCATACCCAGCCAAAGTAGTTTCTCTAGAATTCAAATTACAAAATAAATAGAAGCTTAAAACAGGAGAATGAGTAAAAATAGTGTTCTGAGGAGCACAATTACTAAATATTGCTGATATTAATAAAGTGAGTGCAGGAAAAGTATTTGCGTTTGTAAAGCAGCAGTACACACTGAAGCCTTGCCAGAACGCTGTCCTCAGGGATAATGCCAATGAGGCCACCTCTCAGCTGAACACTTTTAATGAGGTGCTTTTGATACTGTTCTTCACTAGACAAAATCTCTGGCTGTAGACCCAGCAGACAGTATTACCTTGAGGTTCTAAAATATATAGTTATACATGTGATAATAATACTTATCAGCAACTTTTCCCCACTCTTCCTGAAGTTGTTAAAAATCCAACAAAGCATGGTGCCGAAAGACTATTGTTTTCCCCCATCATAGCAATTTCTTTTTTTGGCATGTATTTGACCCTCCTCTACCGTCAAATTTTTTTGCAACAATGAAAATGCTGAGGATATGGTGTTCTTCATCTTAACCTCATCCTTAGGCAGCCCTATTCTAACTCCTTTTCTTTTTTTTTGAGACAGAGTCTTGTGCTCTGTCGCCCAGGCTGGAGTGCAGTGTTGCGATCTCGGCTCACTGCAAGCTCCACCTCCCAGGTTCACACCATTCTCTTGCCTCAGCCTCCTGAGTAGCTGGGACTACAGGCACCCGCCACCATGCCCAGCAAACTTTTTGTATTTTTAGTAGAGATGCGGTTTCACTGTGTTAGCCAGGATGGTCTCTATCTCCTGACCTTGTGATCCGCCCGCCTTGGCCTCTCAAAGTGCTAGGATTATAGGCGTGAGCCACCGTGTCCAGCCTCTAACTTTTATAAACCATCCCATCCCATGCCACTATAATTATTGAAATAAGGAAAAGGTATAAGGGATCATCCCAGACAGTCGGATCTGAACATCTGAGGGATACACAGTAGGCTGACTTCCTGGGACAAAGTTGCAGCCTTGGATGCCCTTCTGAAAACACACCTTGTTTGTTACATAACCAGCTGGGCAGGGGCTGACTGGATCGTGCAGGGAGCAGTACAAAAGTGATTCTGGCATGCCTGTATAAACACAAAAAAGAACACTTGAAAGTGCTTACATCAACAATGACACTGTATTATAGCAGGTAACAGCTTCACAATGTACACTGCTGAATAAAGCAACTCTAAACACTGTCAGTAGGTGGTATCTGAACTTGGAATTATAGGAGGCCTATCAATATGCATAAAAAGATTACTAATCTAAAGAAAGAAATATAAAGGTTCATGTCTAATAGGTACTGAGCTGCTACAAAGGAAAGATATATCTTAAAGCACAATATACAATGAAAGTATTTAGTGACACGTTGATCTCATTTGATTTTACTCAAAAGAATTTACTATCAAATATGTTTATTCCAGGTACCATCCAAGGGGAACTAGCTACTGGAAAGATAAAATGATATGGCCATAAAGTGATCTCGCTAATAATAAATCTCAATAATATTATGGGTCCCTAGGGGCAGAAGTTTAGAGAAGTTATAGGATGCTGCAAATGGATCTCATTCTTAGTAAGTTTCATTGATTCACGATGACAGTTTCTTAGGTTCTTCAGTCAAAAAGACAATCTTTTTTTTAAAAATGCAAAAAAATGTTTAGTAAACCATGTGCTTAAATATCATATGCTAGCCTACATTTTCATTATGGAAAATAAAACAGGATTCCACTGAAAAAAGACAAAACCAAATAAAGCAAGTTTAAAACCTCTGTAGTCTTTTCACTTTATTTTCCATAATTTCAATTATTACAATTATCTCTAGAAAGCTTACATTAGCTATTTTCACTTAATTATATGCTTGTATACTTTAAAGCTGGTTATTAAAATTGGGTTCAGGTCAAGGAGAATGATATTCCATAAATTCCTCTCCTAAAATACAGGACTTTGTGATAACCAACAGGACATGATGCAGTTGCCCTCAGAAGCAGAGGACTGAATAACCAATGGAAGCAGGACTTTCATTCAAGTGAGTCCTAGATATCGGAAAAAGCTTTAGGAGAAAGTGGTGTACAGAAGAACTGGTGTTCTTGCTGTCACTGTTAAGCTTTCCCTATTAATAAATAGACGCATACATCTGCATATAAAATCCTATTTCTGGAATAGAGGATATTATTAATATATCAGAATACAGCCGTATATAAACGCTTCATCCTCCCCTGCGTGTCTGAGATTCAAGCATGATGAGACTACTTTAGAGCTCACACAGGCCCCTGCAAGTTCTCACTGCTGAGTCAGATAATCAGTGCCTGGAGCATCTGCCCCACACCTGTCTGGGTTCCCACCCCTAACCTGGGTAACTTTTACTCTTCGTTGACCCAGCTAAAATGCCCCTCATCTTCTCTCTCAAGAATCCTTTCTATGGGTTTTTATGGAGGCTTAAAGAAAAAAAAGAATCCTTTCTTTATTCTGACCACCTTGCACATATACCCTAGAGCAGGTTATCTGCTCCACCCTCTGGCCTGTCATGATATCCATACATATCTCTAATCCTGCAAAGCAGTCACCACAATTTTTACATCAAAGTAAAATTTATATTTTAAAGATAGAATTCTCTATCTTTATCCCAGCTAGGCTCCAAATTCCATGAGAGCAGCAACTGTTTCCTATTCAATCTTGACTTGCCAATGCCTGGCTCTTAGATGTTCAAAAAATACTCACTAAAATTATGAATAAATAAATATATGAATGAAAGATCAAAGAGGCAACAGCACCTCCAAACTCCAAATTAACACATCACAAGGCACATATAACTAACTTAATTAATTTTTACCTATAAACTTTCCAACTCCTTCTTTATATTCTGTCAAGACTTCATGTTGTTCTGCTCTGTAAGCAAAACAGAAAAATATAACATAATAATGCATCATTCTGTAAATACTCTGTGCAACTGGAGCCCTCTTCTTCTCACCCAAATAAGTTACATCATAGTAAATGCTGTCTTGAATTACATCATTATTCAAGAGTTCTAACTAACTAGTTTAGGTTCATTAGCCAGAATGAAGGCCTTCAATTTGCTAGTGGTTCAATGAGACATGAAACTGGCAAAGATCAATTCCTTCAGAATACTTGAATTTTCTTCCTTCTCTTGCCCCTTTAAAATCTCTGTTGTTAACACAACCCAGCAGAGTATTATGTTAATTGGTCATATGGTAGGTTTTTCGATTAAGTATAAAGTCAGTATATACATTACACAAAATGATCTAACTTCGTTAGTTCTGTTTCCATAAAGTAGTATTAGCAAGTATATGTGCAAAAGCAGAAAACGCTTTGAGGCTGGTGAATGATAACAGTTCCTGAACTCCAGGTGTAGCTCTCACAGAGCATCCCCTGACCTGTCACCCCTGGGAGCAGTGGCAATAGGGCAGGATGGGACTGTAGGTTTGGAGGAAAGGTGAAGCAGATCTAACATACAGGTCTGGCCTGTGGCTACCACATTAGGGCCAGAAAATGTATAGTGTTTGAAACCTCTCTTCTGATTTCATTATGAAAATCAACAAATCATATATATGAACAACAACAAAAAAAACTTTCTCTTTTTTGCACCTAAGGTAACTAAGCTGCTGCCAGAGTTGATACTTGAATCATCGGTTCTAACACTTACAGGGATGACAGCGTAAGCTGAGCCATGGCAGGAACCCCGTGGATATTACGCAGCGTGTGATGGGTGAGGTGTGGGGCGGAGCCAGTCTTGGTGTACAGAAGGCAGCCTGGAATATCCATGGTGTGGTCCCTTGTTTTGCCCAGGTTTTTTATTTTTCCTAGGCGACAGCCATTAACTACCTTGGTAAGACTCAGCTTCATCCTAAGGGATTCTTCTAGGTCCTGTCAAGAAAAGAGCATTAAGTATAGAAGGAGCTTCACAACATCTAAAGGCCAAGCATTTTGCAAAAAAAAAAGTCTTCAGAAAAATGAATGACAGCATGCTTATTACTGCTTCCAGTCTAAACATTTTCGTAGATATCAGGAATGGGTGAATGGGAAAAGACATAAAGAGAATAAGATACCTTCCCCAAGGTGCCAGAACAATATATTGACATCAACTAATTTTAAATTTAGTCATGGAATTTTTGTCTGAGCTGATGAAAACCAAACAAATGAAAGAACAGAATTAGAAAGATTAATCATGGAAAGAATGCCATGAAGCCAAAGCTCTCTCGGCCTTGAAAATGTATACAGAGAAGAGTAACACTGCTTAGGCCATACCAATTACTGATACAATCCATTTTTTTTCTTTCTCCAATTTGAGGGAATGCTAAGCAATATAGCAATGTTTTCCTAATAATGCTGTTAAGTGAAGAAAACAGCATCCTGGTGTTTATGAAAATATATGGAAAAATAAATGTCAAAAGACAAACAGATTATCTCCAAGGTGGGATTATTTCCCAATTTGTTCTTATATGGTATCCAAACAGAAGTGAGAAACTGTGTGGAGCATACACGCAATTCATAAGCAGTGTATCATTACTTTTATAACAGGGAAAGACTAATATGTGTTTAAAGAAAAAAATAAAGATATACTTTCTAACTTTTATAGATATACAGGGAAAAAAATCAGAAAACATTATCAATTATTAGTTGGGTGCTCCTAAATGATTTCGTATTCAATTAAGCAAAATACTGAGTTCCACTTTTAAAATGCACTACAGAACTTGATAAGCACACACATCACCTGCTAAATGTCACCGAATATACCAACATTTTACAAATACTTCATTACATCTTTACAGCAAGTACCAAATCTTCTGGAATTCTTAAAAACTGGGCCAGGCCCAGTTTTATTAGTTGATAAATGAGCTATCAGAGAGGTAGATCCCATTTTCTTTTCTTTTCTTTCTTTTTTTGTGGGCACAGAGTCTCTCTCTCTCTGTCACCCAGGCTGGAGTGCAGTGGCATGATCTCAGCTCACTGCAACCTCTGCTTCCTGGGTTCAAGAGATTCTCCTGCCTCAGCCTCCCAAGTAGTTGGTACTACAGTCATGTGCCGCCATGCCCAGCTAATTTTTGTATTTGTAGTAGAGATGGGGTTTCACCACGTTGGCCAGGCTGGTCTTGAACTCCTGACCTCAGGTGATCCGCCCACCTTAGCCTCCCAAAGTGCTGGGATAACAGGCATGAGCCACTGTGCCTGGCCAGATCCCATTTTCTTAAGCATTATACCATACCATACTCTGAAAGTCAACCATTGTTAAAATGTTACCAAATAAATAAGACATATCTATCATTAGTTAAATATATTCAAGAATGAAAACATTACTTTTTTTTAGGAGACATAAATTCTTAAATTTAAATAAAATAGCCATCTCTATCATTAGAATCTTAGCCATTAGAATAACTACTTTCTTAAAAAAAAAAAAAAAAAAACAACAACTACTTTCTGTACGGTCTACGAAGATATTTCATGCTAAACACAAATTATAAGAACTAATATAAGTGTTTGACGAAACCCTGGTCAATTTTCTGTAACTATAATACCATCATTTCAAGTTATCACAAAGATAGAAACATAAAAATAAGTGTCATTAGAATACACAAAAATGGACACTGGTAAGGAAAAAAGGTTACATTTTAATAAATAGTATAAAAGCTATTTTTTTACATACCCTGTTGTTACACATTAAAACTGCTAAAACAAGAAGGTTCATTTCAAAAAACTGTAAAACTATAAGCTAATAAAAGCATACTCTAGAAAATATGAGAATCATAAAGCATACTCTAGAAAATATGAGAATCATAATCCTTATTTATTAGATAATACTGATTTCAAGTGATAAAAATGTATTTTATATTTTAAACCCACAGAGCTCTAATGTGAAATTTAAGACAGCATTTTGTAATCTAAGTAGCTCTGGAGAACTGAAGCAGGGGGAAGCACAAAGATGAGAAATGTACTTCGAAGCTTCATGAATCAACACCTGTTGTTCTGACTGAATACTGAAATCAACCAATATGGAACACTAGATTTGTTGAAACATAAATAAGAACTAATGAAAATTTAATGGACCAGAATTTTTAAATGCTGCAGTAACTTAAGCATTTCCTACTCTCACATACGTCTGACGGAAGAAACTGTGTTGCCTGGAGCTATTTCAGAAAAGGGCTAGAGACAAGAACTTGCTGGCTCCTCCAAAAATTCTGTCTTACTCCAAAAATACTCTCTCATCTGAGCTGTGTAAAGCATGTAAAGAGTTTAAATGTATACACATGAAGAGTGTTTTTTAAATTTAATTCACATAAAGGCACAAAGAACCTTCACCAGGTAAAACTAATACGTTTGAAACTTTTATTCTCTCTCCCCATCAAACCTATGCTCTAAGTTTCTCCAGTTTATTAATAAATGACACGAACAACTGACAATCAAAGCTTCTGATAAGCATGAGATAATCTGCTTTTCCATGCTGTGTTAACTCAATTCCAGGTAAAAACAACAAACCCCATTGCTTTAGTAAAACTGTGCTTAATATCCCAGTATTGTATAATTGCTCTTAGACTTCAGAAAATCGTTTATAGAGTTCCAGTACTACCAGAGACCCCTACCTGGGAATTCCTTATCATCACCTCACCACCATCACCCCTTCTGCCATTTTATTGTAATGAGACTAGGCCTGCTTAGTCATAGGCTTATCTAGAACCTGGGCCTCCTGCAAAAAGGCCTGTACTCTTTTTATTACTTTTTTTTTTTTTTTTTTCAGATAAGGTCTCATTCTATTGCCCAGGTTGAAGTGCAGTGGTGCAATCATGACATTCCAGGCTCAAGTAACCCTCCCACCTCAGCCTCCTAAGTAGCTGAGACTACAGGTGCCCAACCACCGCACCTAACTAATTAAAAAAATTTTTTTTGTAGACACGGAGTCTCACTACGTTGCCCAGGCTGGTCTCAAACTCCTGGGCTCAAGTGATTCTCCTGCCTTGACCTCCCAAAGTGTTGGGATTACAGGCATGAGCCACTGCACCCAGCCAATTATGGCTTTTAAGTGAGAGTAAATTTAACGTGCTAGGAGATGTATTCCTTTTTTTTTTTTTTTTTTTTAAGAATATCCTGTAGCATACAATGGCCACTCAAAAGAACAAGATTTTTCAAAAGTGTATGTGAAATCTATGAAACATCTTTTTGTTTTTTTCCCATAGAACACACTGTGGAAAGTCATAAAAAGAAAGCGGCTTTTGGTTGGGCATGTTGGCTCACGCCTGGAATCCCAGCAGTTTGGGAGGCTGAGGTGGGCAGATCACTTGAGCTCAGGAGTTCAAGAGCAACCTGGGCAACACAATGAAGACCTGTCTCTACAAAAAATACAAAAACTAGCCAGGAATGGTGGCATGCGCCTGTAGTCTTAGCTACTTGGGAATCTGAGGTAGGAGGATCCCTTGAGCCAGGGAAGCAGAGATTGCAGTGAGCCATGATCACACCACTGGCACTCCAGCCTGTCTCAAAAACAAAAAAGAAGAAAAGAAAGAGAAAGAAAAAGAAAGGGAAAGAGAAAAGAAAAGAGATAAAAGAAAGCAGCTGTCAAGTTCTTTAACCTGTGCCAACAGAATTACACAAGGGCTCAAAGATCAGCCACCTGCTGCTGCTCCCTCCAGTGCCTAACAGTCTTGTACTGCTTGGTGGGCTGGCTGGCCACTAGTCAGGGATTTAGGCTTCTGCCTGGTAAGCTCAGCCTCATCTTTTCTATATATCCAGCACAGAGCCATCACTCAGGGTCTGGCTCAAACCCATCAACCTCAGAGACGAAATAATAAAATCAGTATGCACAATTATTTACTCTGAGAATCGAAAAAAAGTAAAGTGGACCAGTCAGCGCCTGTCTGCCCTAGAGAATGCAACACATGAAGCCAAATATGCCATGCAAGCATGGAATCAGAATGGGAAGAAGGTACACTTATATACATAAAGGCAACTGAAAGGAAACCCATTGGTTCTCTTAATACAGTACCCCCATTGACAGTTCTGCTTTCCAGTTTCAGTTATCCATGGACATCCGAGGACCAAACACATTAAACGGAAAATTCCAGAAAAAACCATAAGTTTGAAATTGCATGCCATTCTGAGTAGCATAATGAAATCTCTTGCCATTTTGCTCTGTTCCACCCAGGACATGAATCAACCCTTTGCCCAGCATCTACATACTGTAGACGCTCCTCGCCCCTTAGTTACTCAGGAGCTGTCTCATTGATCAGATCAACTGTCAGTGTATTGCAGTGCTTATGTTCAAGTTGCCCTTATTTTACTTACAACTGGCCCCACAGCACAAGAGTTGTGATGCTGGCAACACGGATATGCCAAAGGCAAACCATAAAGTGATCCCTTATGAGAAAAGGTTAAAGTTCTCCAACTAGAAAAAGAAAAAAGACTGTTTGCTGAGGTGACTAAGATCTACTACTGTGCCTAATTAATAAATTAAGCTTTATTATAGATATGTATAGATAGGAAACATCATACTGTCTGTCTATTCTGTCTGTCTATCTATCTATCTACGTATCTATCTAGGGTTTGGATCTATCTATCTATCTATCTATCTATCTATCTATCTATCTATCTTATCTATCTATCTTATCTATCTTCATCTATGTACGTATCTGTCTATCTATCTTATCTACCTATTTATCTTATCTGCCTATCTTATCTATCTTTATCTATCTATCTATCTGGAGTTTGGAACCATTTGCAGTTTCCAGCATCCACAAGGGGTCTTGGAACATATTCCCCACAGATAAAGGAAGATTACCAACCAACCAATCTCAGATTCTCCAAGATTGGACACAAGGATTCTCTAAGAGTATAGAGGCAGCCAGACCTGGAACCCCAGACACTGGCTTCCAGGCCTTACCTTTCTCTCAAAGACTTCTTTGTTTCTTCCTTGTGTGAGGAAAGAATGAACATATTCTAGAAGTTCCCATCTTTTAACAAATGAGTCTCAAGTGTGATTAATCATCCACTCAGTCCTGAAGGCATCTTCTCTCTTCTTTCTCATCTCCCCTTCCCACTCTTTCCTCAACTGAAGAAACAACTTTCTTCATTCTTAACTGAAAGTCTGTAATTTGAGGTCCTTTGTAACTCTAAAGGACATTGGCCACCATGTTCTTAGAGGCAGGAGATGGGCTCTCCTGTGATATAATGCTTTAATCCCAAATTTAATTCTCATAACTTTAAAGATGAAATTCAAAATCCTCAGCTTAGAATACTGAACCCACTCAGCCAGCTGGAGAGAAATACCCACTTGGCTTTCTCTACAGTGAAACATTTTGGTGCTACATACTCACTTCTGTTGTTTGGGGCTTCATAAAAGTTCTACCCTAATCACAGTAACTTAATATGTAACTGAAGAGAAAAGTAAGGAAGGAAAAGCAGATGACTGGGTTTAAGAAAAAGTATTAGAATAAACTGCCATTGTCAGTGATTCTGTTTTGTGGGGATGAATGCAAGTATTTTAAAATCTGAGGAAAACATCAGATAACGTACTATATTTCAACTGGAAATCAATATTTAAAAAAAAAATGGAATTTTGTCCAGAGCTGGAAGAACCAAGTCTTCCTTTCTTCATTCACTGTTCAGATTATGGTAAATGTTTTTTATAATTGCACTTCTTTTCTAGAGGCCAAATACAATAAATTGTTACTATGAAGTAATAAAATAGTACACACACATACACATATTCATATACATATTTTTAAAAACATGCTTTGACAGTGATTATTTCCTTTTTCCCAAGGAAAGTTCAAGAAACAGATCAACAGTCTCCAAAACATTAACTCGTTTTTATTTGCCTTTACCATGATCCCTTCCCTTTTCCCTCGTTGTGGGTCTGTTCTAATACTTCTGGTGTCACAGATGGCATCCCTGGGGAAAGTCTTAAGGAAAAACATTAAGAGTGTAAAGACAAATGACAGGCTGTCAGTGGATCTCTACCTTTATAAGGACTAATGAAGATTCCCTGCACTTCTGGCAACACTATACCTGTCCTAACACTTCCAGTGCAACCCACCACCTCCACTCTTCATTTATCAGGAGAGAAGGGATTTTTAAATGTTTCCTAGCTGGATTCTCTACATACTGTCATGGAAATGTCCAAAATTTCCTAAGGCAAAAGGTGAGAAGAAAGCTGTACATATAAGTGCACGTCTGCATCTCTTACCCTTCTCCCCCACACATGTACCCTTTCTATAATGAATAGTATATGCATAGAAAAATGTCTGAAGGACTTTTAAACAATGTGGTGCATTGAGCTGACTCAGAAACGACAGAGAAATGAAGAACGCTGGCTGGGCACAGTGGTTCACGCCTGTAATCCCAACACTCTGGGAGTCTGAAGCTGGCGGATCACCTGAGGTCAGGAGTTCGAGACTAGCCTGGCCAACGTGGTGAAACCCTGTCTCTACTAAAAACACAAAAATCTGCCAGGTATGGCAGCACACGCCTGTAATTCCAGCTACTCCAGAGGCTGAGACAGGAGAATCACTTGAACCCATGAGGCAGAGGTTGCAGTGAGCCAAGAACATGCCACTGCAGTCCAGCCTGGGTAACAAAGCAAGACTCGGTCTCAAAAAAAAAAAAAAAAGAAAGAAATGAAGAACGCTACAATTCCAGAAAACAGTAACTGAAGACTTTTCCAAGGCATTCGGAAATCCTTACACCATTTGGTGAGGGAAAGAGAGAATGATGACGTTAAACTTTGTTGAGTATGTGTGTTAAAAATTCAGAAGTAACTGTTAAACAATTAATGACAGAATGCATAATTTCCAAACTCACTGGAGAGGGAAGTGGGAAAATAAAGAAAAATGGATTAATCTAATAAAAGGCAAGAAAAGATAAGAGACCAAAAAAAGAAACAGAAAACACAAAATAAGACGGTAGAATTCCAAATGTCAGTAATCACAATAAAAGTTAAATTAATTTCACATATAGAAAGACATAATAACAGCAGTTAACATTTATTGGGTATCTACTATGTATCAAGCACTGTTCTTTATATATTCACTCCATTAATCCTCATATCAAATGCATAATATAGATGCTATTATTATCTGCATTTTATGGATGGTAAACTGAGGCTGATAAAATCACCAGCTGGTAAGTGGCAGAGCAAGGACTTAAATTATTGAAGTCTAGTTTTCAACGCTGTACTCTAATAGGCTGGGAGCTTATGAGAAGTTCCATCTGGTCCACAAGCACATCAGTTACCATTTTGCTATAGTGTTCTTGTTCTTTTCCCTTTCTCCCTCCCGCCTCTAATCCATCCTCCCAGTCTCTGCAATCTTTCTCCATTCTCAAACATTTAAACATACTTGCATATGGAAGGGAGTGTTTTGGTCAGGGTTTGCTTTTACAAAAATGGAAACATACTATAATATATGCACTTCTCTGCAATTTGCTTTTCTCTCAAGAATAAACATTAGACGTCTTTCCTGAAGAAACATAAAGCTAACTTACCCTTTTGAAAAAAACTACTTCGTGATACTGCATAGTTTGTATGAATACAATTTATTCAACCACCTTTCAGATAGACCAGTTACAGAGCTGGTCCTAGGATCGTTGCAACAGTCCGAGGACATAGCTTCCCCAACCTCATTCTCACCAATTTCAAGTCAACTTTAGTTTACATTTCCGGGCAGAATGCTTTACATACATTTATTTTTAATCATTCCAACACTCCAGTGATTCAGGTATTATTATTGTCCCCATTTTGCATGAGAAAACACGGTCTCTGAGTTATTAAACAAGTTGCCTAAGGTCACATAGCCACAAAGTAGCTGAATCCAAAACTCCTGTTCTAAATCTTTACTCTGCTTTACAAGCCCATTTATCACCCCAAATGGGCTGTCTCTGGAAACACCTCGGCTCAGCCAATAAGTCAGGATTTATCTTTGCTCCATGGGCCATCTCCATGGCCCCAGACCTCCCTAGGCACCTAGCTCAGAGATTGAAGATGGTCCCACCCTCCCATGGGCAGTTCGGAATAAAAATTTCCAACTGAGAACTCTACCCTTGAGCGGAGGCTAATCGAAAGGGACCCTTTTATCTCAGAGCTGTCGGCGAGGCTTACACGATTTATGAGAATCTGAATTTACAGAAGCCAAGATGTACCAGGAGACCCTGAAAAGGGAAGGAGAGGAGACATGGCGGGAGTACTATCACTGTTACTGCAACACAACCAGGAAGCGCCTGGGCGCGACGCGACTCATCCATCTCTAGCAGCTCCCACACCAGCAGGGCAAAAGGGCACTTACCTGCCAACAAACTATTCGACTCTTTTAGTGTTCAGACCCCTCAAACTCTCCACAGTTCACTACCACGTGTTAGGCTTGCAGAATTCTCTGCCCCCAAATCACTGCCTCCAGTGCAGACCCAATCAGGGAGTACTGCGTCATCATTGGGCGCCAGAAAAAAAAAGCAAAGCCGATTAAAGCGAGCCTTGATGACGGCAAGAGCGAGGGACCTCTGCCGTTGCTATGGTAACTGAACCAACGCGAGCGGCCTGCGCAGAGCCTCGTGGGAGTGGTGGTTCGACGGCGTCCTACGCCTGCTTTCCTTGCGGGCGGAGGAACTACAATTCCCAGCGTGACCCGGAAGCAACCCTGGCAGAAGAGCGGTTGTGGCAGCTTTGGCCGAGGTTCGAGCTCGAACTTGGAAAATGCTAATGGCGCCTCAGGGAAGGTCCTCCTCAAAGAAAAGGATGGGGCTGAATCGCTGGAAACGGTTCACAAGGAAGCCGAGTCCCCAGGTGATCCCAATCGAGAGCTTTGGAGGGCGGGGACTTGCCCAAGGGGCGGGGCAGTCAGGAAGCCAGTCGCGGCCCCTCTGTGCTTCCTGCCTCTTTATCCTTAGCTGACACGCCCCTGCCTTAACCGCCCCAAAGCCAGCATTTCCCTGAGTGAAGTGCGCTAGGATCTCTGGGGTGTGGGTACATTACGGCTTTGGTGGGCCAGCATCGTGGAAGAACTGTTTCTAACGCTTTTCTAAAACCGGAGGTGTCTACTAATGCCCTTCGAAGTGAAAGGAGTTTGCAAACTCCGTTCCCCCTTAAATTTTAGGAAACTTCTCGCATATTTCTTTTTCTGTCTCTTTTTTTTTTTTTTTGCAAATCTTGGGGGAATTGATCTTTATTAACGGGGGAGAGCTTCACATTAAATACCCTGCCTGTATTCCTACCCCTCCACTTTTACGTAAAGTAGCTAAATAAACTCAGGAGTGCCAGTGGATATTGAATACACTAATACTTGATTCACACAGGAATTTCTAAATTCAATCAACATTCAAAAAATAGATTCTCTCCGTGTCTGTCACCCATTTGGATGCATTAGCACCTGAAGATAAGAAAAAACTGATAACCCACATTTTAAACTTGAAAACATATGTGACATGTGCAAAGTCACAGTTGCACCGTGTGTGCTTTCCACAGACTACCTTTTTAACAGTCCCCAAAAGGATGCTTAAAATCTAAATGAGAGTACTAAAATGGAGAAGCTTCTCAGCTTTCAGCTACAGAGCAGTTTCAGCCGCTGTTTTCACCCTTAAGTTACACTTTCCTAAATAATATTCTGTAGCTGTATGTGGCCTTTGTGAGGGCCCCAGGTAATTGTTCTTGCAATTTATTCTAAATTTACCAACTAAATGCATTGGACATATTCCACATGGTAAATATGTTGCCCTAGATACTACAGGGCACAGGCTGGAGCATTAGGGAAACTTGGAAACTGAGGCTGCTGCTATTTCAATACATCAGTTGCATGATGTATTGAATCCAAAATAGGTTATGGATATGGACTTGATGATGAAAGGTAAAAATTTAGAATAATTTCTTAGGACTCCAAAAGGAAGGATTTTTCCTGCTAGTGCTCATTATTACTGCCTAGAGAGAAAAAGGGGGAAACATAGGGCTCTTTCAAGTTCAGTTGTGTTTTAATTGGATCAGTTCTTTCTTTGTTGCAGTGACAAAATTATTAAGCAGTACAGCTGCATTAGTTATCAGTAAGATGGTTTGAAGGCATAATGTTAGGTAAGTGAAAGAGAGTATTATATTTTTCCCACCTCCATGTGTCAACATGCTAGTTTAGATATCCCCTTATTTTATTATTGTTAATATTATTATTATTTTAGAGAGCATATTTGAGTAAGAAGCAATTCATGAACTGGGAACACCAAACCAAAAGAGATCTAGTGCTCCAATGACAAATCATCAGGATATCCCCTTATTTTAAAAACACACCTGAATTTTTAGTGAAGAAGATAACTCTATTCATTAAGTGACTATTAGAGGGAATTCTGCAAACTTCTGGGTGTTACAGAGAGTGAAGGAAGGAAATGTCCTGATGGTTTTACTTCTAATTTCAGATTAATCAGACTGATCTGGGTGGAAATTTGTATTTTCTGCTTTGTAAAACAGTATAAGTCAGATTGATTAACCCTTACCCCATTCCCCAGTTTTTTTGGGGTTGTTGTTTGTTTGTTTTTGAGATGGAGGTCTGTGGCCCAGGCTGGAGTGCAGTGGCGCGATCTCTGCTCACTGCAAGCTCCGCCTCCCGTGTTTACACCATTCTCCTGCCTCAGCCTCCCTGAGTCACTGGGACTACAGGCACCCACCACCACGCCTGGCTAATTTTTTGTTTGTTTGTTTGTTTTTTTAGTAGAGACGGGGTTTCACCGTGTTAGCCAGGATGGTCTTGATCTCCTGACCTCGTGATCTGCCCACCTTGGCCTCCCAAAGTGCTGGGATTACAGGCGTGAGCCACTGCGCCTGGCCAAAACACACCTGCATTTTTGGCAAAGAAGATAGCTATTTGTTAAGTGACTATTAGAGGGAATTCTGCAAGCTTCTGCGAGTTACAGAGAGTGAAGAAAGGAAATGTCCTGATGGTTTTACTTCTAATTTCAGATTAATACCTGACTGATCTAGGTGGAAATTTGTATTTTCTGCTTTGTAAAACAGTAGAAGTCAGATTGATTAACCCTCAGTTTTTATTGGACCAAACAAGATCCCTGATCTAGGTAAGATGAGAAAGCCTCTTGCTACAGGCTACTTATGAAAGGAGTAAGGAGAGGAACACACCCTTCTTTAAGCTAAAGATTACTTGGATAATCTGGCTAATTAATGAGTGCCTTTTTTTTTTTAATGAGTAGCTTTATATTTAGCATTTCTATATCTTGACTCTTAACCCTAAGGAGGTTTAAAAAAATAGCAGTGCCACAGGGTGCTATCCCCATTAAATCACAATCTCAAGGTGGGCCTAGACAAGAAATAAGAACAATGTCCCAGGAAGGCTTCATGCTTTCTCCTCATACTGCTATTCTGTGTCTTTTATTGCTAATCATGCTGAACTTCCTACTGAAATGCTTTGGGGAAATAATAAAGGACACTGTTCCATATGCTTTAGTCAGAAGGATAGATTTAAATGGCAAAGTTGATGAAGATATTGCTGTGTATTAATGTCCTATATATGTTATCTACAGCCTGCTTTTGGACCTGACAATGTGGAACACTGGATAAAGGTAAGGATATTTTAAATTTAGAATAAAAAGATAATTAAGAGTCAAGCATAATCAGATGGAAAAGAAATATCAGTAGACCTCGACTTTGCACATACTCTGCTATTTTTATTCCCATGTGACTATGTAAGTTGCCTTAATTTTATACTTTTTAGTATTTTTTTTTTTCATAATTCTGTTGCCTCTCATGAAACCATTTAAGTAGGAATGACAAGAAAAGAGGTGTGTAGACATCGTTTCAAATGCCATGAGTATCACTTGAAGAGGATTAAAGGAGTTGGGAAAAGAAGCCTTGGGAGAGGATATAGTGGCCTACCTCAGATGTTGGAAAGACTTCACTGTAGTTACAATAACATAGGGACTAATGGGTGAAAACTACATGTGCATCACAAATAAGAATTTTCTAATGACTAGTCCATCCAAAAGTGGACTGGGCATTCTTATGGAGATGTGTTTTCTACCACTGAAGCTATTTTAATGGACTCTAAATGGTCACTTAATGTTAGGCTAATGAACAATGTCTTTCAGGATTCAGTGAAGGGGGGATTGTGTTAGATAACCTCTGACACTTCTTCCAGGCCTGAGATATGTATTTTTGAGTCCGAGTACCATTTAATTTGAAAGTACCATTAAATCATTCCAGGTGTGTGCTTCTGAGTGTCAGTTTGGCAGCTTGCCATATTCAATTCATCGTATACCACATGTATCAAAATCATGCAACATTTTCCCGGGAAAAGACCCCTGACAGTATTTTGAAGAGTGATTACTCATGTAAATTGACATGCATCATGAGCACCAGATCCTAGATAGATGTAATAGATCCTAGGCCAAATGTAATAATTTTTAACCATTTATTTATTCAGCTGGTATTTGAGTGCCTACTAAATACTAGCCCACTGTGTTGGGCGTTGGAGCTAAATCAGAGCAGGTACAGTGTCTGCCCTCCCAGGGTTTACAGTCCAGTGGAGAATAAACAACTTACATAAAGCTCATGAGAGAATTAAAGATGTAATGAAAGTATGTGGTGAGAGGCACTAATTTAAATGGGGTCCGGGCAAGCTTCCTGGATACTGCAGAAAGCCTAACTTAGAAGACGACTAAAGTGGATCTACCATCATGAATGCTAGCCTTTAGGAAGACCATTCCACAATATCTAGTAAGATTAGCTTGCATGTGAGTGTTGAGAGTCCCAGTGCCAATATACGCTAGGATGGTAAGTACTATGGAGACAGTCAGAGCAGAGGACGGGGAGAAGGAGAGCTGGAGGAGAGCGTTTACAGTTTTATATAGGGTGGTCAAAGAAGGCATTACTGGGAAGGTGATATTTGAGCAAAGGCTTCAGGAGGTGAGGGAAGGAGGCCTATGGGTATCTGTAGGAGAACAGTTCAGCAGTTCAGGCAGAGGGGAAGCAAGTACAAAGGCCCTAAGCTGGGGACACACTGAGCATATCTGAGGAGGAACAAGCAAGGAGGTCCATGTGGCTGAAGTAGAATGAGCAAAGGGAAGGGTAGCGAGGGGCTTGGAAAGCTCACAAAGGGCTGCGTGGCAGGACCTGGAAGCTCATTGTAAGGACTTTGACATTAATTCTGATTGAGATCAGGAATCATTGAAGGCTTTTGAGTGGAGTTGTGACATACATGATGTGGCTTTCATTTTAAAGGAGTCATTCGGTGCTGTGGTGAGAGGCTATTCCAGAAAACCTGTCAGGAAATTGTTGTGCCTTGGACCAAGATGGTAGCAATGGAGGTGATGGGAAGGGGTCAGATTCTATATATATTTTAAAGATTGAGTCAACAGATTTTCTGATCAATTATAGGTGGGGTGAGAAAGAGAGAGATAGATTGGATTAAGGACTCCAAAGTTTTCACCCTGAGGAATGTAGTTGTC